GCGATCTGCATGCTGGGTGCATCCTGAAAAGCATGGTCAGATGCTGAGAAGATGTCCAACTGCGTGTCATTCAAGGACTCCAGGGGTGGACAGGGACATTTATCAAATCCCTGCAGTGTCACGGTACAGAGGGTACTTGCTTATTCAGGAGGGGAGTGCCCAGGGAGCAGGGCAAAGGTCAGAATAAACAAAACACTGTCCAGTGGGTCCATCCGAAAGTGAGACAGGAAGCTTTATTGGGTAGTGAGCTGCCCATTGCTAAGGGTATCCAAGTAGCAGATGCTATAGATCAGCTTATCAGCTGCCTAGAAGGCAATTGTGGATAGAAACACAACCAGATGATATCCAGTCACTTGCCCCCTCTGAGATTCCAGGATCTCTGCCTTCTGCATGCACAGGAGCCACCTTACCCACTCATTGTTCCATCCATCTACCCATTCATTAATTTATTCAAAAGGGGTGATTCAAGCACATATGGAGTACAGAGCCACTCTTGGGTTCTGGAGTTACAGATGCTATTCTTTCCCTGGAGTAATCCATCACCTAGTTGGGAGACAATACATTCAAATTATTAGATGTAGAAGAGTCCCTCTAATAATACAAAAAAGTGCCTAAGTTGTTGAGGATGCAGTGGGGTGGTGGGAGGGTGAACGGGGAAGGTTTCAAAAAGGAGAAGATGCTTGAACTGGGTTTTGAAGGATATGTAGAAGTTTCCCAGGTAGACTCGGGTGGAAGAGAATTCCAGGCAGAGGGAACAGCACGTGTAAAGTCAGTCTCAGAAGTTTGAAACACCTGAAATTGTCTACAGTGTTGCATTTCATTCCTTATCATTGGAATATTAAAATAAGGGCAAGCACTGAGGCTGCAGAGGCGATGCAGGGTGAAGTCATTAAGGACCTTATATTAAAGACTTTAGAACTTACCCTGAAGACCATGGCACGGGGAGTAACTGGGTCCTATTCACATTTTAGAAAGATCTCTCTGATTACAGTGGAGAGTGGATTGGAGGGGACAGATCCAAAGCAAGAGAAACCAGTGAGGAGACCCATGGGAAAGTATTTCTCCAGGTAAATTCACTTTTTGCAAGAATCATGGCTGCACGTTAGACTCACCCATGAGCTTTAAACATAACCAATGCTTGCGTCTCATCCCCAGAGTCTGATTTCATTGGTCTGGGCTAGGGCCATGGCTTTGGGAGTTTTAAAGCTCCCCCAGATTATGTTACTGTGTAGCCATAACAAAACCTTACGTGAACTGTAACCCGAACCCTGGTACATAGCAGGTACCCAACAGATATTTCCCCCAGAAAATTAGTGTGTAAACATTCAGAGTGCCCGCTTCTTGTCTTCATGCCACTTTGGTGGGTATCCTTGGGTATACAGTTGGCTTTTGTCACAGAGGGTTTCAGATAGGAAATCACCACCAGAATATAAGCTGAAACATTGAGAAGTTCAGTGCTGCCACTGAGACCAGCCTGCCATACCCGTGCAGAGAGCCAGGAATACTAAGTTGACCTGGCAAGTTCCCCGAAACAGATGTTGCCACCAGGCTACGGTGGGAGGGTGAGACCAAGGCCTGGAATCTGAGTTCTAAGAGTTCCATGCAAAAGCAAGAGCCATTTGCAGTCTAGAGATGGCCTGTGCTGATGGCAAGAGGGATGCAGGGTGGTGGTCACCTCGAGTGAGGAGCAAAAAGAGGATGAGGGAGAGGAAGAGGGCAGGGGAGGCAAGCCCTCCATCAGTAAAATAAGCATGTTACTGTCTCCATGGCACTTTTCTCATACTCAGATTTAAGGCAGAGATTGGTGCCCAGAGCCACACTGCTATTTTGCTTCTCCCCCAGGATGTCTGTCTAAAGGTTTCAGACACACAACAAAGTTGTGATCCCCTGATAGCTGGGAAGGCACTCCATTACCCCAACCTAAAACCCTGGGGAAGCTAAATTGAAGAACATAACTTAGCTCAGGACGCCCAGGCAGGGACCTCCCACCTCATCTCCATTCCATCTGGAATGGGCATCAATTCTACCTACCCAACTGCTGCGTAGTTGAGGATCATGGCCATCCTTCTAGAACAGTGATTCTCAACCTTCCTAATGCCGCGACCCTTTAATACAGTTCCTCATGTTGTGGTGACCCCCAATTTCATTGTTACAAAGTGGACATAAGTAAAGCATAGTGATTAATCACAAAAACAATATGTAATTATATATGTGTTTTTCCGATGGTCTTAGGCGACCCCTGTGAAAGGGTTGTTCGACCCCCAAAGGGGTCGCGACCCACAGGTTGAGAACCACTGTTCTAGCACAAAAGTCAGCAAATGACAGCCATAGGCTAAATCAACACCTGTGTTTGTGAATATAGTTTTATTGGAATAAAGCCATGCCCATTGTTTGCACTCTGTCTGCAAGTGCTTTCACTCTACGACAGTGGAGCTGAGTAGGAGTAATTACAACAGAACCCAAGCCGTGTACTATCTGGCCCATTATAGAAAAAATTTGCCAACCTCCGCTCTAAAAATGACCCAGCCAAGCTGGCTTAACACATGGGAGACTAGAAGCAAGAAAGGGGGCATCATGCATGGGCTGGGCTTCTTATAGTCAGTGGTCCTGCCTGTCTGTCAAACATGGCCCGCTGAATGGCTGAATTTCTGACCAAGCAGGATACAGATTCCTCCTTGCTCAGGATGGACCTAGCAAGGAATAGATAAGCAAAGGCAAGGCTGGTGTATTGAGGTGCATGGGTGCTCCTTTGCCCTGCATTACTAACAAGGACCTGTGTAGACTGAAGATACTGCAAATTCCATCCCAGAAGCAGCGCAAGGGCCACAAGCAGGGGTGGGAACACTAGTCCAAGTGTTGCCCAACCTTCATGCTTCTTAGCTTCACTAAAGCTGTCCCTGCTCCCTTAAATGCCCAGCTTCCTTCTCTTTGAGATAATTAACTATACCAGTGATGGCGAACCTTTTGAGCTTGGCGTGTCAGCATTTTGAAAAACCCTAACTTACCTCTGGTGCCGTGTCACATATAGAAGTTTTTTGATATTTGCAACCATGGTAAAACAAAGACTTATATTTTGATATTTATTTTATATATTTAAATGCCATTTAACAAAAAAAAAATCAGCCAAAAAAAATGAGTTTGTGTGTCACCTCTGACACGCGTGTCATAGGTTCGCCATCATTGAACTATACCCTCCCTGTGTTTCCATAACACTTGGCTCATAACTCTGTTCACTCATTCCATTTGGTCGTTTACTTGTCTTTCTCCTCTTAAACTTACAACTCCCATCTCTTTCCACCCCCTCTTTGTCCAACTTCCTGCTCAACATCTTCGCTTGGGTGTCGAATAGTCATCTCAAACGTGGCCGTCGCTGCTACTGTTGTTCTTATTGTTTTGAACATGTTAAGAAGCACATAGTATTCAGCAAGGGGTAGGCACTGTTCTAAGCCCTTTATGTACCCAAAACACACTTATTTCGTGCCTCCCAATCCTGTTTCTCCCTAGCTGTTTCTTCTCCATCTCGGTGACTGTCATGGCTCTCCACTCAGTTCTCCGAGCCAACAGCCTGGGCCTCAGCCTTCATCCCTCTCTCCTTCACAGTCCACGTCCTCAGTGGATATGTTGGTGACCTGCCCATATCCCCTCCACACAGTGTCCCCAGTGCCTGCCTCCTGGAAACACCTGTGACTTTTTGCCTGAGGACTTCCTCAGCACAAAAGAATGTGCGCACCCTGCCTACGGAGCACAGCAGAGCGTTAAGGGAGTTTCTAAGAGCCGTCCTCAACGATGATAGATGGAAATTGGTGGGTAAACACCCCAACTCCCTTCTCCCCCTGGTAGGAGAATGAAATGGGCCCGTGGCATTAAGCCCTAGGCACACAGTGGTAACCTGTTCATTGATGTACCCTGTGTTGACTTTCTTCCCTTGATTGGCTCACTTCCCAGACTCTTACAACCATGCTTCTAAGGACTGCCTCCCAAATAGACTCTCATATTCAGATCCTTGTTTCTTGCAAAAGCAGTGAGTCTGCTCCTGAACCAAAACCTATAAACTTCAACTGAAAATATTCAGTTCTCACTGCATCCACTGCCACCATCCCGGTACAAGGGCCCAAAGTACCATCATCTCTTACCTGGTCTATTGCAACAACTTCTTAATTGATCTCCCTGAGTGGGTATTTCATATGTGAGCCAGAGTGTACTTTGTAAAACATAAATCATATCTGGTAACTCCCCTGCTCAAAACCCTCTGATGGTTTCCCATTACACTTAGAGTAACACCCAGCTGGTTACCAGTGACTGCAGTGCCCCCTCTAATCCTAACTCTCCCAGCCTCTCCGGTGCTCCTGTCACTGCTCTCCCTGCCTCATCCTTGATTGTGGTCCTTGGTTATCACCTTTGCATCTACTGTTCCCTCTGCCTAGAAAGTGCTTCCTACATTTCTTGGCATGAGTGGCTTTTCACATCATAGCTTAGATGTTACCTTCTCAGAGAAGCCCTCCCAGACTGTGTAATCTGGAACAATCCTCATCCTCTATACTATCCCTTCTCCAAGCTTCATTTTCTTCATGACGTTTTCCACCATCTAAACTTACATGTTTTCTGGTTCATTTGGTACACCTCCCAGTGGACTGGAAGCTCAAGGGGCACTTAGTTTATTTCTCTGTGTCCCAAGTACGTAGAACAGTGCCAAACACATATTAGGGACACAATAAATATCTGTCGAATGAATGAATGAATGAATGAATGAATGACTCCCCTGTTGGACCAGATTTGGGCTCATAGCACACAGAAGACCTCAGTAGCATTTGAGCCAATGAAGGAGGAAATAAGGCCGTGGAGAGGCCCAGTCTATGTTCTCCCCAGGCCCCTTCCACCACCACACAGCCCTTTATGCTGAGTGACCCACTACAGCAGGTGCTGTTTCCCCACTGGTTCTTCTTCACCTGCATAGTGCTTCGATCTCTGGCCATCCTAACCACTCTGTCCTTCCTTTGTAGGCCTTACCAGAGGGGCAGACTGCTTCATGGGACACAGCCAAGGAGGATGAAAATCGCAATAAGAACCGATATGGAAACATCATATCCTGTAAGTGCCCTTCTGGGAGGTCCCAGGCTTTGGAAACCAAACCATTACTATTATTTACCTAGAGTTTGTTGTCAAGTTATCCTTGGTGTTTCCAGCTTTGGGTCAACATGCCAAGCTGGGAGCTGTATTTCAGCCTGGGTGACAGAGCATGGCTGACCTCAGGCCCAGGAGGCAGGTGGGAAGCTGGGTCCAAGCAGAGTAGATCCAGAAAGCCTCTGGAAGCTGCGTCTGGCCTGGCATTGCCCATTGCTCAAGAATTGCTCAGGTTGGGAAGGAAGCCCAGGCAAAGGAATCCTTCCTGTTCCCAGCAGTTCTTCTAGTGCAGAGTACCACCTTATAAGTCACTCAGGGTACCAGCAAGATCCAGGCCGTGAGGGAGGGGCTGAGGACACCCAGGTGAGAGAATAGTCCTCCTCTCAGAAGGCAGAGTCCCAACCAAGGATTGATGCCCGGAAGGAGCCAGAAGCTCTGAGCTTAGGGCATCATGACTTCTGCCAGACCCACCGCCAGTGGGGCAGAGGCTCTAAGGTGAGTGCCTGCTGCTCAGGGCTGCATTGGCACAGGCATTTGTTGTCACTGAGCCTGCAGGGGGCAGGCATGTTTTGCGTGGAGCTCAGGGAGGCATGGAAGGACATTGCTTTGCTTGGCAATGAGCTCCAGGCAGCCCTGACGGGATGTGGTGCAGAGCGGCTGGAGCCTCTGCAGAAAAAAACTGCCTGGCTTCTGTCCCGGCTCTGGGACCCGGAGCAGGTTTCCTGGCTGCTCCGAGCTTCACTTCCTCACCTTTAAAGTGACGATAATAACAGAGATAGGGTCATTGAAAGAAGCTACATAGAACCCTTGGCCTTAGTGCCTATCATCATCCTCCTCATAGCTTGGAGTTCACTTTCTCAGAGTCACGGATAAGCAGTGTGGATGGATAAGCAGTGTGGTGGATGTATCATCCCACCACATTTTAACCAGAATTCACTGACTACCCATGTGGCTCATGGAATAAGCCAGTTGGGGAGGGAGGCATGATCAGATGTCCATTTTGGAAAGATCTATCGGGTAGATGATTGGGAGGGTAGATTAGATTGGGAGAGGCAGGAAACAGAGGAACCAGTCAAGAAACAACTGCACTGGTCCCAGCAAGGGATGGTGAGGCCTGAACAAAGTCAGTAACAATGCTTGTGTGTGACGGTACATGGTGGAGTTCCTAGAGAAGAGGGAGAGAGACAGGCTTCCATATAACTAAATATCAGGTCACACACAAGTATGGTCACTGTCAAACATTGGTGTGTGCAGCCTTCCACGCAACAGGTACAGAGAGGACAAAGTTACCTCGTGCAAAGTGCTGAGTACATATCTCATTAGAACAGAAGTCTGCAGCAGCCTTTGCCTGCCACGGTGTAGCTCACCTGGACCTTTGACATCTCACCAAGGTGCATAGCATTCCTTAGTCCCAGCTCTCAGGGTAACCCAGCTCATCCAAAAAGAAAAAGAAAAAAAAGATCATGAAGAACAGATTATTTCTAGCACAGCTCAGTGTTTTGTTAACTGTCTAGACATTGCCTAAGAAAAAGCTTGGTGAGAGAAAAGCATAAGATACAGGCAGCTTGTTGAGGAAGAAGGAGGCAGAAGTTTCAGCTTAGCTGTTTCCTGTGCTGATTTAGGAATGGGCTATGAATGGCAGAACTAATCAAAAACATTTGTAATTTGTCTGTTGGATGATAGTAATGCAGACAGCAAGATTTCTTGCAAGCGAAGCATTGGGAAGAGACATTCAAACAATCAGGAAATGTGTGTTGAGACCTATGATGTGTGGGCATCCTATGAGCCAGGCCCTGTGGGACCCTGGGCCTCTGCTCCCAGGGGGCTCCCATTTGGGGCACACGTGGCTGCTCACTCCAACCATCCTCTGCTTGAGGACTGAGCCCTAAAATACCTGGTCACATGTCTGTTGCCCCTATTAGATTGTGAGTCCAGATATGGTCACTAAATTATAGGCTGTGAGACATTATGTGATCACTCTAAGCTTTAATCTTCTGTCTGTGAAATGGGTACAAGGATGTTTTCCTCCCAGAGGTGTTGTGCAGATAAGAAAAAATAGATGACTAGTGCACAGACAAGAGACCCTGCCTTCCTGAGAGACAGGGATACCCAGGCTAGGTCAGGTATCAGGGCCAAAGCCTGTGGGGGCCAAGGATGAGGGGCCACGCAAAGCTATGTATCTCTCCAGACCCCACTGCTCACCCTCTGCTCTCAGCGCCTTTGCCCACGCCATCACCAGCTCTCCCCTGGTCTCTGCCCTGCCTCCTTCTTGGTTGCTTCATATCCATTTTTGTCCCCAACTGTCTACCTATCTGATCCTGACAGAAGCCAGAGGGACCTGAATTGGATCATGTCATCTTCCTACTGAAAACTTTGCCCTTTGCTCATGAACACGCCTTGTCCAGAGTCTCTTAGCCGCCTCTCAGGTCTCGTTTCCCACTGTGTCCTCTTCATAATGGTCTCTACAAGCTACACTGGCCTTCCTTCAGCCCCTGGAGCTTTCCAGGATCATCTATGCCATAGGGCCTTGCACATTTGTTCTCTCTATCAAAGTGCCTTTTCCTCCTCTCTTCTACTAATTCTACTTTTTCTTTAGATCTTAGCTAGGTCGCCACTTCCTCAGGGAATCCTTCAGATCTTCTGAATATGCACACAACCCCATTATTCACTCCTAGAGCACTTTTCCTTAACTCTCCTCATCATTGTGGTGCTGGAGGCATTTGCATGACTCTCAGTTGACTGCCTGACTCCCTCACAAAAGTAGATGCTCTGTGACAGCAGGACCACGACTGTCTTGTGCCTCTGTGTCCCCAAAACTGACATATAGTTGGTGCTCAGTAAATAGGAATGAATGCTGGGAAACACAGATTCTCCGCAAGACCCCACAGGCCTTGAACCTTGGGTCTCTCCCTCTGGCTTCCCAAATAAAATAGAGAACACTCAAAAAGATGGATGGAGGAAGGCAGGATCAAGATGATACTTGGAGACGTCCAAGTAATGTCTCTTAGTGATGAAGAGGGCAGTGAACCTAAATGAGCAGAACAGGGGCTGGATCCCAGGCAGCAGGGAGAACAACGAAGGGGTTAGACTTCTGCCACTGGGGTGCAGAAGGTGCTGAGCCCCACCCACACCCCACGGCCTCACCACCTCCCTGTGCAGTGACGCCAGCTGGCAGTATCAGCATCCAGGGCCAGGATGAGGGTAAGGTGGGTGAGACACCCAGTCTGCAACATTCAAGGAGGTTCCTCCCTCTCAGCCCTTGACCCTGCACCTGCACAACCCTGAGAGCAAGCGCCTCCCTTGCTTCGCCCTCATCCTGCCCTCATGTCTGCGTCTCTTTGCCTGAGGACTTTCTCCAAAGCTGGGCAGGATGCTCTGTCCACGCACAAGGCAGGTTCCCCCTGGACCAGGAAATAGCCGAGCTCCTCACCTGGGTGTGTATTTCACACCTTTTCCTAAATCCCTGGGGAGGTGGCTGCAGTTGCCCACGGAAGGAATGGCCTTGAAAACACACTCTCTCTGGGTGGCCTTCTCTTACCTGTCTCCCTGCCCCCTTTCCCGGGGTGACCCCTCTCCTCCTATGTCAACTCCTCGCACTGCAATCCTCATCTTACATCTACTTCTGGGGAAACCCAGACTGAGGCAGAGGGAATTCATACACACCTCATGACACCACCTGGCTGGGCTTAAATAAACCCGAGTCTCCTTTCTAGTTTAAGGGTCCATGATTCTGCAACAAATCAGGGCTGAAGCAGGGACAGTGCCAAGGTAACCAGTGGGTTCTAAAGCCGTGCAAGACCTACAGGGAACCTAGGAAGAAAAGAGAAGTCCTGGAGTTGCCATGTGAACGGTAAAGAGAAACAGCCTGAGGGACAGAAAGTCTTCCTGCCCTTGGAGGTGTCCCTCCCGAAAGCGAAGTCTGCCCGGGCTTGATAATTAGAACTATCCCTGGCACAAGAGGAAAACCAGGAGTGATTAGCATCTTAAGGAAGCCAGAGGGGCTGGAGTGGAGGACAAGGAACAGGCCGGGAGAATGGAAAGATTAGCAGGAAAGAGAAGGGGACAGGGCACCACCTGCAAATGAAACAATGAAAGAGAAACCTTGGCCAAATAAGCCCTTTCTTCCACAGGATTCTGTTTAGAAGTTAGTAATGGAGACCGTGGGGTTTCCAGGGCCTGGGGATGAAAAGGAAGTGAAAGGGAAGGAAATGAATGGGGAAAACGGAACAGAGGGCTCTTTGCTTTCAAGTAGCTCTGGGCTTCGGGGGCTGTGAACAAGAGGAAATTTTAAGAACACCAGAGCATTCCCCATGGGGCAGTTCTAGAACAGGAAATTACACCCAGGAGAGGAAGTGATCTTGGGGGGTTGCAGATTTTACAAAATTAGGCTTCCCTTCCGGAATCAGGCAGGGTCCCAACAGGAAACAGATGGGACCCTCAAATAAGGGGGTTTGGGGGGGAGAAACTAAGATGGCGGTATAGATAAACACCGGGAAATTGCTGCTTCCCACAACAATCGATAAATGCATCAAAAACACAAGGTGGACATCATCCAGAACTACAGGAGGGCTGGCTGAGTGTAAATTCTACAACTAGAAGGAAAGAAAAGCACACTGCGAGCGGGAGGAGCTGCGGAGGTGGAGTGCAGAGGTACGGGGGCTCGCACGCGGAAAGGGTCTGGCACCTGAGGACGCGGCTGTCTTTTTGAATCAGGAGGGAGAAACAAGCTCCCGACGGCTCTGAAATCCGGTTCCGGGAAGTCTCTGGGGACCCAGGACTCATACGGGGAGATACTGGACTGTCTGGCAGCGGGCGAGCTTGAGAGCGGCTTTCCCTCAGAGGTGCTTGCAGCCATTGCCGGGACACTGGGACTCGCGACTCCTTAGGGCAGGGCCGCCATAGCTGCTTTCTCCGCCCTTTGATTTCTTGAGACCCCGCCCCGCCCAGGCTGCGGCAGAGGCTTTTGC